AAAATTTGAAAAAATTTCTTTCGAAACTTTGAGCTTAGTCAATAGAATAAATATAATAGCTCAATTGTACATCCGATGTGACTACTTTACACCAAAAGTAAATAATCTCATTATATATGTTTTCATATAAAAATTGACAGCTTTGATTGTGAGCATAAAAACACCCACGTTAGGAGATTTGAGTATTAGCTTGGCCATCCAAACTGAGAACTGAAGGTAGTGATGCACTTTATTTCACTTAAATCTTCTGATATAATTTTTGGTAGATTTGTTGGTGTGAACCCACATTACGTCTTTTTTACTGACCAAGCTAAAAGGCACTAACAGGTCCCGGCCGACCATGAAGACCGGATTGGACACAGATTGGGGTTGGGGTTCGTGCCCTGTAGATACCGTCTGTCGGGTAGGGCAAGGTCTGAATTTACGCTTGCTAATTTAATGGGTTGATCCCAGGTCTCAGTAATAAGACCCGACGAGCCCTCATACAACTTGGATTGGAATCATGGGTTTTGAAAGTCCAAATCAATGTGATCCGCATGAGACCTGCAGACCCAATCAGGCTGGCCCGAGCCTTATTGTAAGGCCCACTAACGTAGCGAGTCGAGCCTCGGTCGGGCAAAGTTCGGCCCTCTTGCACCACTGCCAATAATTAAGAATGGCTAAAGTTGGCACCTAAAAACTTTCAACAACAATAATAACAATTATCATTCTTACTATAATTATTAGTAGCTTAGATACCTCGGAGGATTTTATTCATCAAAGAAAAATACCTTATGAAAGCTGAGCATCCATTCTCATCCACACCCATGCACAAAAAAAAAAAAGAAAAAAAAAAAAGGTTAGCCCCACTCAAGTGGGGACCATGCCCGATTTGACATGTGTAAGATACCCTACACCAATCACTCTATCTAAGACGCGTGCCTTGTGAGGGACCACCAAACATTGACACTTGTGTACCCCCTAAAAAATTTCCCCTTTATTCTACTATTTTTAAAATACATAAAAGGGGAAAGAAAACATTGTCCCATGAATCCGGCATAGGGTTTTAGAGTTCACATGATGGGTGGGCAGGTCCGGTTCGACGGGAGCAAGAGCTGGATTCGAGACCGTATCTCCAATGCCTTGGAGATTGTTAAATTTATTCAAAAAATCCGTTGCATATCTTATACATATGGCTTAAATAATGCAAAGTAACTTATGGGTATTGCTTATTTTGGGCTTTGAAATGTGATTGATCACAAAGCTCAAAAGGTAGGTTATTTTAGTGGAAAGAAATGGTCATATAATTGAACTTTGAGGTTAGTGCAATTATGAAAGGGAGGGGGAGACAATTATTGGTCATGAAAATGGCTAAGTACATGGATTTTTATATACATGGTTAGAGGACCAATGATGGTTGCAATCTAGTGGACATCCTCTTTCCACGTTTGAAAGAGCCGAGGTCGTGAAGAATGAAGGCATGTTCAGTCCCATTCATCCAATCTTTCCATCTTTAAATAGACTTCTTCTCTTTTTCCCTCTTCCTCCCAAATTTTATTTGTTTTTTTTCAAGTGGATTCCAACGCCTTGCCAACTGCTTTGAGCCAATAGATTCCTTCAATTAGTGGGGTTTCCCTTTCAATAGCCAATAAATCTCGCTCTTTATCTCTCTCTCTAGCTTTAGGTGTGTATATGTTGTGGTCCTCCAGATATGTGGGGCTTTTGATGTTAAACTTCCAATGGTGCAAGGTATGTCCCAAAGTTTCAAGGCATGACTTTGCTTTTCTGTCGTGGTTGGTCCCTTGATTTGGGGACTTATGAGAGGTAGTCTTATTCTTTGATGCCTACTCTCTCAAGAAAAATATCTTGGCCAACTTCTAAGACTGCGCATTTTTTTTTTTTAATAGTACTTGTGAAATTCTTGTTTAGTGTCTTATACATAGATCCCTCATCAAGAATCTTGTTTAGTGTCTTATACATAAATCCCTCATCAAGAATGGATTCTAAGTGGTCATCTCAACAGGGCGCCACAACATGATCTCTTCGACTTCCACTTCTACTATATAAGAGATACTATCCTCTCTCAACTAATAAAAAAAGAAGTATTCCTTTTTAATAATACTGTGAAATTCTTGTTTAGTGTCCTGCACACAGATCCCCCATCAGGAATGGACTCAAGGGCTAAGTGGTCATCATGATAGGGAACGACAACATGATCTCTTGAGTTCTACTCCTACTATATATAAGACACTTTCCCCCTTGAACTAACCAGAAAAAAAAGGTATTTAATAGTACTGGTGAAATTATTGTTTAGTGTCTTATACATAGATCCCCCATCATGAATGGACTCAAGGGCTAAGTGGTCATCATGGCAGGGTGCCACAACATGATCTCTTAAGTTCTGTTTCTACAATATATGGTATAATATCCCCCCTTGAGCTAACCCCAAAAAAAAAAAAATTGTTTTTAATAGTACTAGTGAAATTCTTGTTTATTGTCCTATACACAAATCCCCCCATCAATTATGGACTCAAAAGCTAGGTGGCCATTATGATGGGGCGCTACAACATGATCTCTTGAGTTCTACTTCTACTATATAGCATATACAATTCTCCCCTGAACTAACCCAAAAAAAAAGCTTTCCTTTTTAACAGTACTAGTGAAATTCATGTTTATCGTTCTATACACAGATCCCCCATCAGGAATGGACTGAAAGGCTAAGTGGTCACTAGGACAGGGCACTACAATATGATATCTTGAGTTCCACTTCGACTATATAGAAGGACACTATCCACACCGAACTAAGCCTCTCCCCCGTACCAAAAAAAAAAAATTGGAGAGAGAGAAGATAGATCCCCATCTAAATGAAATGAATGTGAGAGAGAGGAGGAAGTAGTTGTCTAACTGAAATGAAACGGAATGCAACCTTTTCAGGCATTACTCTCTACCTGTCCCACAAAAGAATTATGATTGGTCTTTTTTTAATTCCATGATGTGGAAAACTTTGGTAGAAAACAAATAAATTCAGTACAAACTGCCAAGAATAAGATTTAAGGGCAAAACTGATGTGTACAATTCCTCCCACTTTTATTTATTTCTATATTTCTTGGATCACTTCAGAACTATTTACTGTACTTTGGTACTTGTGTGCTTAATACCTATGTAATTTCGAAGCTGTTGATTTTAAAAGAAAATAGACATCTTGGCTATTCTAGTGAGGGTCCACCATTATATGTAGAGAAGGACTTGAAAGCAAGACTAACATAGAAAGATCATTAGGAGAAGTTTGTAGTTGTTAACAGGAAATTTCAACATGTTGCCCACTTTGCTTTTTAACATATAATTTGGCTCTATGGAAGAATATTTCTTGAAAATTTCTGAGAGAGAGAGACAGAAAGAGTAAGTTGAGGGTTTGTGGGGGACAGAGAGGGCACTGGGACTTGTAGGAGAGATGATTTGAGGTAAATAGGATTTGTTGCTATAAAATATATTTTCAATCTATTTAAAAAAGTCATTGGTTTTTTTTATGCCAAGTGGTAAATTTATGAATTGTACTTTTTGTCTATTATTATTTAATGAAAAATGGGTAGGGGGTTTTCCCCTTTTTTTTAGGACTCCGACGAGCCCTTAGCCTTAACTACTTAAGGTTAGGAATTGAGCCCCCGGAATTTGGTCTACAAAGGAATTGCTGTAGTCCTAGTCTATGCAGCAAAGATAATTAATGGGTGGCTTAACATTCAAAAAAGAAAAACAATGGGCGGTTTAGGATGCTCTTGAGCCCGTAAAGTACACCATACCCTTCTTCCCACCGCATTCAATGGAATGTCACACCATTCATAAGAGACTTCCTCTCAAGAAAGCCTATTTGAAAGTAAATCACGAGGATTTGATTACGTTTAGGAACTGTAATAGCCTTCTTAATCATAACCTGGCATCCATCTTTATCTTTTCAAAATGTCACTTGAAATGTTCTCTCGTGGGAGATGTTCTGAATTTGTGCAGCAATTTGTGTATAAACAAGGCTAATACTTGATTGTTGATTCCTTGTGTATTTTCTGGGGTTGATATTGATTTTAAGTAAGAAAAGGGCATCTTTGTGAGCCTTCCAAATATTTTGGGATTAGTAAAGTTCAGGGTAACTCTCATTCATTGATTTTTTTTGAGTAAGTAAAAGTGCAAGTGATAAATGGAAAGAAACCATGATATGAAAAAAAGGATTCAAATCCAGGGCGAATCATATATATATATATATATATCCCATAAAAGGGGCGAACCTGATCAAAGCGTCATTCAACGCTTCATAAAAGAGTGTTTTTGTGGGGCTACCTCATTGATTGTCTCATGTTTTCTTACGCATCCATGGAAGCTCCTAAAATTTCATTTTTTTCTCTTATAGTAGGATTGATTGCACCATTATACAATAAGAAACCAATTAGATTTGGTTGAAACCCAAGTTGGACCTTAAATAACAATGACACAAGTTTTTTCTTTTATTTTAAATATTCGGTGGCTTTTTTTTTTTCTAATAAGTCACAAAAGTAATCTTTTACCAATGCTATGAATGGAACTCAAGAGGTCAAATAAAAACACCTTCCGCCTTGACCACCTAATGTTGAGATCTGACCACTTAGCATTGAGCTCATTCCTTAGTTAATCGTAATTTAGTCTTTTAAGTCACTTAACACATACATCACCATATAACCAACCACATGTTCAAACCCTAAACACACTAAAGTTACATGTGCAACTTGATTAGGAGGGCCCCTACATCAGCTTTAGTTTAAGAATTCCAGATATTGTATCCGGGGTTTGGAATATTCCAGGAATGCTTTGTGGAAAAATTTGTAATTTTCCAATTGACCTTTGAATTTTTTGTAATCTTTATTGACTCGTGGTTATAAGTGTTCAAAGTTCAACCTTCAAACAGTGTACCAACACTTCCTGGAAATTACGTTGCAATAACCAGACAAAGTCTCCGAAAATTTTTTGCTCCTTCCTTTTCCATTTCATATCATACATAGTAATATAACAGTAGTTTGTTACATTGCTTTGCATCCTTCTGTAAAGTTAACAAGAAGGTTGCTTTCAAAAGGCCTTCAAGGAAAAGAGGACAGATACATTTGACACTAAATTCCCTTTTTTTTTTTTTTAATCTGTTTTTCGCTTTTTGTTAAAGACATAAATACATGTAAATTCCTCATTTCTTTTACTTTATCCCCACGATCTTGGGGTTTTCTCTTTTTATTTACACCCTCTCTTGGGCCTTGAGAGACGAGCGTTTCCAGTCCACAAGCCGATGTAGAAAATCCATCACCTGCAATAGAACAATCATCCAAACCTAGTTTTATTAGCATATACATGGAAAACTATTTATAGAACATGAAAGATTCATTCAAACACAGCGTAAAAATATATAAAGATATCATTCACAGATTTAAAATTAAAAAAAAATAATTCTCAAACTTTATGACACACTCTAAGAGATTCATTTTTAAATCTAATAGCTAATAGTAATTGTGACCTCATTCCAACCAAAGTAAATGATCTCATAGTGACTAGAGATACAGAACGGAGAGAGAGGGAACTTAAGGTTCTCTCCGGATAGATTTTCTTCCTCTAAATGGGGAGGTATGATATGAACTCTCTCCGGATAGATTTTCTTCCTCTAAATGGGGAGGTATGATATGAACAAGTTTTTTTTTTTCTCATTACTTGGCGTTAAACATGGAAATTAAAAAGTATATAGAGTGGGGACAGGGGCACCGGTTCTTGCCTCGGAGGGTTCTTGTAACGAGTAGGTGGCATTTGTGTCTTTTGGGATCTTCGAGACGAGGATGCCGAAACCTTGTCCTCTGTCACGAAGAACCTATTTTTCATAAGAAAAAGAAGAAGAAAAAACCTCTTATTAGCACAAAAAAATTCATTTGGAGCTTCGAGAAAAAACAATAAACGGTATGATCATGATTGATGACTACCTTAAAGGCGTCTTCATCCGTTCGATCATCTCCAATGTACACTGGAAACACATCTTCACAATTGGCGAAACCTAGATACGCAAATTCTAATGAATTAGGATAAATCTAAATAATAAAAAAATAGAATGAAAAATTCAATTGGTCCTCTCACTTTCTAGGCTTAGTGGCAAATCAATCAAAGGAATAAAATAATGTAAAGAAGACTGAAAAGACTCACTCTCTTTAGTGGAGCTTTTGCAACTTACCAAGTGATTCTAACAAAAACTCAAGGGCTTTCCCCTTGTCCCATTTTATAGTAGGACGGATCTCTAGGACCTGGACAAATATCATATTAATCATGCATAAAATGCACTTTTAAATTACAAGAAATCGGAATATCCAAGGAGTTGGAGCCATAACTCACTTTTCTCCCTTGGGTAAGTCGCAATTTTGGGTATTCCCTCAACACTGTTCTAACTTCTTCAGCCAAAGTGCTCCATCTCTTCAAACCAAACAAACCCAATTAGAACAAGAATAGCCAATAACAAGGTTGGTGACTATAGAATGTAGTTTTTCAACAACAAAATAATTAAACTAACCAATAATAATTATTAATAATAATAAAATGAATATATAAATAAATAAATAAATACCTTTTCATCGACACAACGGAAATGCACAGACAGGCAAAACTTGTTGTTCTCGACCTTGGCACCGGGAATGCCTTTGGTCGTCTCCACCAATGCTTTATACACCTGAAAATAAGAATAAGAACACAATCAATAACAATAAGGAATAATTTTATATAAGCATCTATTCTATTTTGGCGGTGCTTGAAACTAATTACTATTTTTAATATTATTAAAAACTTGTCAAATCTACACTATCTAACTCAATACAACAACTTCGCGTCACAAGAAAGATTGGCAGCTTATACAAACTGCAGCTAGAACTAATAATAATAATAATAGTAATAGTAATAGGCCCTTTTTTTTCTAATACCCTCAGTCCTAATACAATACCCTCAGTCCTAATACAATACCCTCTTACGTTATGCTCTATTATCACCACAAATTATATAAACCTTTCATTTATGCATCAATTTTCCAAGAGTCATTAAAAAAAGACTTCTTAAATGAACTCAAATAAATTAATAATAAAAAAGGTAAAGACTCGGTACCACGTCGATCATGGGCAAGAACTCGCTCGCGGGCTGGAAAAGCACTGCCTTGTTCTTGCCCTGTTAACAAAAGATAGAGAGAGAAAAAAAAATCTCCATTAAAAAATGCTCAAAAAACACTGGTCACCGTAAAAAATATACCTCAAAACAACAAAAAGAAAAAACTTAGTAATGAGTATCAAATACATATACGTAAAAGACATACGATTAGACGTACCGTCTTGTCTAAAGCCCAGTTTCTCTGGCTTCGAGGCCTTCTTGCGGGGCCCTTGATATCCATTCCATGACTACCCGCATAGTACAGCTCAGCCAAGCGTACAAACCTATATACCTATATACAAATTTTATACGATATAATGAATAAGTAAAAAAATTTTACAACTTAAAAATATCAAGGCAATTAGGGCTGGCAATGGGCTGGTCAGCTTGTCCCCCTCTAAAGAGAACTGGTCCGGACCAACCTTTTTTCTTTTTTTGTTAGCTTGTTTTGTTTTTGGTCTTGCGGCCCGCCCGAAAAGAACAGGGCCGGGCATGGGCTGGTCCTAGGGCAGCGACCCGTTGCGACCTTTATGAAAATGAATAAAGAAGGAAAAAAAACAGAGTGCCCTGTTTGTTACGGAATGTACCTTGTCGCGGCACCTCCCGCTAACTATGGCAGTGGGGAAATACCTCGCCACGGCTCTAACCGCACTCCTCATCTGAATTAACCAAAGGCCCAAATAGATGAGAGAGAAAATCTTAGGAAAACGATAGGAGAGAGAGTGGCGTTGGCAAGAAAGTATTATTGAGTGGAGAAAATTGAAATACGGTTTTGTGGTTGATGAGAGAGAAAATGTTGATGTTGGGTCGTGGGAATGAGAGAGAAAGTGACACTTACAGAGTCAGACATGTAAGCGCGATCAGGGTCGTCCACAATCGGGGAGAGGGTGCCATCGTAATCTAGAAACATCACAATCTGTTTCTCCTTTGACGCATTCATCATTTGCTCAAACATACTGAGAGCAGATGGATGATGGACCTGAACATATGAAACCATGGCCATGAGCACATGCATACATGCATGCATGTGAGTACGTATGGTGGGATAGAGGAGACATACATACCGTCCATGAAGAGGGGTCAAGGGACGGCGAAGATTTGATGTGGGTCGGGGAGGAGGCCTTCATCGAGTCGATCCAGCCGTTGATTCGGCTTGTGGTGTCGAGCTTCTGCAATGGCTTGCGCCTGGAGATGGTGATGATGCTTGCGGCCGGGGGCATTTGAGGAGGAGGGTATGCCGAAGATGGGGTTGTGAATGCTTGAGGGGTTGCGTATGATGGGGGTGTGTATGGGAAGAGAGAGGAATTTGATACCGCAACAGAGAGAGTGGCTATGTTGAGCCCGGGCTTTGTTAAGGCGGCGTTTGCTGCTTCGGAGACCATAACACTTTGCTTGGTCATCTCGTAGAGGGTTTAACGATTTCGAGCACTGTTTTCCTGTATTAGAGAGAGAAAGAAATAGAAGTTAGAGAGAGAAAGCAAGAGATAAGATGGTATTAAAGTTGGAGAGTTGGAAACCGAAAGAGATTGTCAATGTGATAGATAGCCTGTGAGGGAAACGGAAAGGAAGAAAAGGGGGAAATTTTAGAGAGAGAAAGAGTGTTTTAGAGAGAGAGTGGGTTTAACAGAGGGCAACTGAGAGCCACTCATATATGGGGCTGGGAGCGGTGCGATTAGAGCCGTCCATTTGGAGGGCTCCTCACCTCGCCCCAACAGAAAGGGTCGTAACTGTCCCTCAAATCCACAAACATAACGGTAACGCGTATCAACAATCCGCATTGGGCAAAAAAGCAACAACCCTCGCTCTCTCTTCTTTCTCTCTCTTCTCTCTCTGGCTCGGAACAAAAAAAGCTAAAAGTTTCTTTTCGAATAAGAAGGATAAAGATCAAAGACATTGCCTTGAGATCCAATACCTCTCTCTCTCTCTCTCTCTCTCTCTCCTCTATCTCTCTCTCTCTCTCTCTCCTCTATCTCTTTCTCTCTCTAATAAAAGGGCTTGCAATTACCAAAGGAGATAGCTTAGCTCACTTTCCATTAAAAGGCTTCTCAGAGGAAACAAGAAAAAAACGATTACACATAATGAAAACACGGAGGGAGAAAATGAGCACTCCAAAAAGTAGGACGAGAAAGGGCCAAAAACTCGAAAAAGAGAGAGAGGGAGAAAGAACAAAGGCTCTGCAAAAGGAGTGTGGGCGGGGACGATTGAATCGAGGAGATCCGACTTTCGAAAAACTGCCTTAATACAACACAAGCCCTAGAGATAGAAAAGCCGCTTTCAAAACAATCGCACGTCGTACCTGATTCAAACTCCTTCCTCTCTCTCTCTCTCTCTCTCCTTTGTTTCCTGGTTCTCGTAAGATCTCACTGCTTCGAAATATATAGTGAGAGAAACAGAGAGTTGATGCAATCTAGAGAGAGAAAGTGTGGGTATATGAAAGGGTCTTTCTTTTCGCTCTGGTAACAGAAGTGGAAGAAGACAGCGGAATTGATTCTTGAGAGAGAAACGCTCAGTGCTCGTTGCTTTGGGTGTTAGAGGGAGGCGAAGGGGGGGGGTTAAAATACAAGAAGGCAGGAGCAAAAAAAATGAACCTGTGGTTCGAACCATGGTTAAAGTGGGGTTAAGTTAATTGTGGCTCGGTTGAACAAAGGTCAAAGACCCGGATTGGTCGGATGAGATCCCGTATGGTCAATTTCTAGTTTGGGTCCGGACACAAACGGACGAAAACCAAGGGTGGGTCCCACCGCGAATCAAAAAGAGGGCCGAGCCCTAAGCTCCGGGGCCCACGCGTGAGGGCCCTACCCCGCATGAAGGGATCCGCCGTCATTCGAGTATACGGCCCCAGTTGCGGGCCCGCGCCCCCCTCGCTACAGGATTTGACAAGTTTGTATGTCGACGGGTCACAACGTGAAACCACGTGGCAGAGTTTGGTTGCCCGCCGGCGTCCAGATCAGCGACGGGGTTTAGACTATTTTGGATTCGGGACACGATGTGTCCGTACGCGTGCCCTCCAGCCTGTCCGAAATTTCGGGGTCCGTGTCCGCAATATCGGAAAAAATCGGAACATAAATAGCGTTATCACTTGTTTTCCGAATTTTTACGACTCGTTGAACTCTAATCCATTCGTTTTTTCGGTGGCGGGTTAAAGCAGAGTCGAGAAAAGCAGCCCCAAACTTTCAGAAGGTCATTCACCCAAAAAAAATTCCAACAGCTCGGGTAATTCGGTCTTAAATTATCTGCTCACAACTGGCAAAATGGTGGTATAATTTCCTAAATTCCTGCGAATTTCAGGCCTAAATCCACGAAGTTCATTTCCAAATTCTGGACGCATTCAACGTTTAAAATGAAATCGAACTTTTCCGCCGATTCTCTCGTCCCCTATTTCCTACAAGCCCATAAAGATATTTCGGGTCATGCCAAAAGTTGGTTTTATGCCTTAGAGCCCAATGTTTCGGGACCGAATTTCGGCGAAATTCAACGACACAGACCTTGGCTTTACCAACAACCAAGTGTATGGAAGGGTGTTAAATTTGGGAGTTTGAAGTTCGAGGGAAAATCAGGGTGGTTAACCATGACTACCAAATTCGGGGAAGGGCCAAATTTAGGGGCGGGCCCCTCCCGCTAAAAGCCTGGTAAAAAGCATTGTCCGTCACTTCACAAGCTTTTGTCGACAGGGAGAGGGGGAGAGAGAGAGAGAGAGAGCGAGGGGCGCCGCTGAAAAAACCACCAAAACTAACAGCGAGCCTAACTAGTTTTAGCGGAAAAACCGCAAAAACCAGCAGCTCCTCTCATCGATCCGACACGTGTGAATTATTAATCAGGCTCCCGGCTTCTTCCAGAACCAGAATCATTAGAGAACCCCCCTTGATTAGTCCATCAGTACTTAATTAATCCATTGATTAATAATACTGATCTTTCACTTTGCATTTGTTTTTTGGTCGCTTTTTCACTTGTCAAAGTGAACAGGAATATCGTACCAGAAAGCTATGGAGGATGGTCTTTGCCATAAAAGGGCACCCAGCTGCCACGCCAAAAAACTGTGGGTCTCAAGGGTTCTATGCTCACACGCGTCCCATTTTGGTTGATTGTCTTTTCCTTTTTCTGGGCTTGTACCTAAAGCTCTGCAATCGGGCCATGTGTCCCATTAGGTGAGCTCGAGGGCCGTGCAAATACAGGCCACGTGTATGCAGAACCTTGACTGAGAGAACCCATCTCTCTATTTTTATCAGGCCTCTCTCTCTCTCTCTCAGCACTGAGTTAGAGAGAGAAAGGGTTTAGTTTCCACTGGTTTTAGGTTTTAGGGCGAGACATTTCGTCTTTTGGAAGTTAAACAAGGTATTGCGGTTCGGTGCTCATTATTGGCGGCCCTGTCAGTCGTACTTGGGCTCTTCTTTTCCTTTCTTTTGTTTGTTCTCAATGCTCTGAATCTTTACTATTCAAAGGAAAAGGAGGAGCGAGAGTGGGAATGATTCGTTCCGCCTCTCACTGAACCGAATGTTCCTGATCGAAGTAGAGAGAGAGAGGTTTGCTTCAATTATTGACCATGTATGCGTACGCAATTATGGTCCAAGTAGTAACCCAAAGCTTCCAAACCAGGTTGTTACCGGTCACATTAGGCTTTCTCTCTCTAAAACGTGCGAAAACGTCGTGGTGGCATCCGATCAGGGAATCCATTTCCTCAAAATCTATTTTCTCTCTCTCTAACTAATAATCAACCTGTACTTAAAAGAGAAATAAAAGGCGTCCCGCCCACAAGATGAACAGAGAGAAACAACATAATGTGCAATATTCTAGAGAGAAAAACAACATAATGTGAACATGAATACGTCATTAGGGTTTGGGGTTTGAGCTAAGGAAAGCATTAGATTCTTCTTGTGCCTACCTCATCGCGCCCACCCCAATTCTTCCTCCTGCAGTTGGCTCTTCCTCACATGCGTCGTCGTGGTAAAAAGCGCGGGTCAAAGCCGATGGCCATAGGGATTCTACAATCAAAGTCATAAAGTTTAGGGAAAAGTTCTAATTTTTTTATATTAATCATGATTCAGAAAGAAACGCAGACCGAGATTTTGCTTTAGAGCTGGCTTCAGTCTTTGTTTAATAACAGCGCCTTCTTCACACTGCTGCTGTCTCGGACCAGTGTCCAGTGTCCGCCAGCTACCCAACAAAGCAGCAGTTAGACCAAAGCTTAAAATAGGACCGAAATCAACTGAAATTTTGAAGATTTCGTTTTCACGTTTTATTTGATAAAATAGGACCCAGATCGACTGAAAATTTTTGGATTTCGTTTTCGTATATTTGAAATCGGGTGCCGATTCTTCATGGCAATTTCACCGAAAGTCAGGAAAAAAAAAGAGGCACAGAATCATCCTCGGCGTCGATGCTATGCTCCTGCAGGAGCACAATGACTATCTACTCCCACTGGCAGAAAACCAACATAGAAGGAATTTTTAATCTAAAAGTTTGGGAATTACCTTATAATCACTGAATCATTACTTTTCAAAGGCGAAAGTTTTAATTATAAAATCTCAATACTTCGTTCTCGACCCTTAAATAATTGGACCTTAGACATTATTATTTTCAAGTGCATGGAGAGTGTCTTTTTTCTAAATTTTTCTATTTTAAAGGTAATCTATGGTTTAAAATGGTATATCCCTAAAATTTGAAACCCTTAAACTGCTACCATACTGAGTTTTATCCTAGAGAGTAAATGGACAGTGTTCGCCGGCCGGAACATGGTATCTTTCCAGTTGGAGTTTTTGCATAAGTTTCCCGGTGCAAATCGCAGCGCACATAAACGCAATGACTAGTCACGCGTGCGTTTGTTGATGACGTGGCATAAAGGACACGTCATCGATGAGAATTGGGAGACATCACGCCCTGGAGCACATACGTGCCGAATTGAAAGCGAGTCCCGTTTCACGCCACGCGGCGCAGACTGGTTGGGCAAGAACGCACTCTTAGTGCGAGAGGCCATGGTGTGGCCGGCAGGATTCCTGAGGCGAGGCCTCTCACGTGGTGGGTCCCCTCCACACGTGTGGGTTCCCATTGATCATTCTTTGTCATTTTACCCGTGTACCGATGGTGGGCCCATTCTGACCAGGCTCTGACATGGATCCCACGCCTGGGTCCCACCAGGGAGGTGCTCGCCACGTCTGAGTACCCTGGAAATCATTGGGAGCTTTGAACTTGGATACCTGGTGTCATTGTTAACCTGCCCTTTTTTTACAAAATATTTTCTTACTAACTACAAATATGACAAAAAAGAAAAAAAAAAAAGTTTATATAAGGTGTGAATCTTATACTAGAAAAATTAACCAGAAAAGTTGCTCCGGCTCTAGAAGGCCCCCAATTCATCACATCAACCTCGTGATGTATGGATATTACATAAAGAAAAAAAAATATTTTTAAATCATGACAATGGTACATCTCATGATGTAATATCCAAACCGTCCATTTTTTAATTTTAAAATTTTATAATTAGAAATGAAAATAGGTTTTAATGCCACCATAGGATTTTCGGTACTTGTATTCTATATTTCGGCATGTTTTAGAGGTGCACATTGTTTATAGAAACTATAACCAACACAAAATGTAATAGAAACAAAATATTACTATTGTAACATGTAATAGGATAAGAAAGTGCATATTACCGATGTAAAAGATAGAAAAGTACATATTGTCATTGTAGAAGATAGAAAATTGTACATT